GGGTTTGCAATTTACATCATTAAAGATCAGATTCCAAGTCTAAATAATATCACAGAGCTTCATACATAGTAAGAAGACTTTACAATAGTATACTCCACATTTGTTCCTTTGACTTTTGATTTTCAGATATTAAACCATCCTTGTATCTCTGAAATAAATCACACTCAGTCATGGTGGATGATCCTTTTAACGTATTGTTGAATTTGGTTTGCTAATATTTTGTTGAGAAGTTTTGCATCTATGTTCATCAGAGATATTGGCCTGTAATTTTATTTTTGTGTTGTCCTTGCCTGGTTTTGATATCAGGATAATGTTGAGGGCTCCCCTCAAGCTCATAAATGAGTTTGGAAGGCATGGGCTCTCGAAGAGATTGTCTTTAGTTCACCTCAGCCCTGTAGGTCTCGTGCACGTGAGCCCAGCTGTTCCTTAAGGCCAGATGTTTGCGGCCTTGTCTCTCAGGTGCTGATCTTAAAAGTTGGGGTGCACAATGTGGAGTACAAACCCTTCATTCCTGAGGAAGAATCTTCATGTTTTGAGTTTTTTTTTTCCTGATGCCAGGGAGTGGGTGGGGCTGGGAGTGAGATTTACGATGGATGGGATTGTGTCTCAGCTTCCATGTGTTTTCTCCCTTGTTTGCCTGATGTGAAGGGATCACTCCACCAGTTTTTAGGGTTTTTTTCCAGATGAAGTTGTTCCATATATAGCTATAGATTCGGTGTATCTGTGGGAGGAAATGAGTTCAGGTTCTCCCTCTGTCATCATCTTGAACTGGAACCCGTTTCAGTGCTGAATTTTAATTTCTAGAATGTGCATTTATTCTTTTAAAGATTCTCATTGTCTTTTCAAAAATCTCTATTTTTTATCTGTTTTGTCCACCTTTCCTCCTACTTTTTGAAAAAAATAATTGTATTTATTTTAAATTCCTTAATATTTCCAATATTTGAGTCATTTATGAATTTGTTTCTCTTATCTGTTTTTTCTCATGGTTTTGGTCATTTGGTCCTATTTTTAAAAGATGCCTTGCAATTTTAAATTAGATGCTGGGCATTATAACTAAAAATCTATGAAGGCTCTGGAGATGTCCCATATACCTGAAGAGTGTTAGCATTTCTTTTATTAGGAGTGTCAGGTAGAAATGGATCAAGTTGATCTTGTTGAGACTTTGCTTTATGCCTGTTATTTTGCTTTGTGTTTCCTCTAGGGCATAGATTTTATTGCAAAGGTATGTCTCTTATTACTGAGTTATGGCCCTTTTAGGGTCTCAGTAGAAAGCCTGATGTGTTTCTGAAGGTCTACATCCAGTGGGGCTTGAAATGAACACTTAACCTCTCCAGCACTGCACAGCTGCTGTATTTTTATTTTTATTTTTTGCTGAGTTTTTTTGTGTCTTGTTTTGAACATATACAACTTTTAAGTTGGCCAATGATGTCAAAACATAGTTACAGGTTTTTCCTGTTTTTGGTTCTCTTTCTTTTTAAATGATTTTTCTCTTAAATTGCAGTCATTTGGTCTGCCCCAAAGTCCATCCTCTCTCTCTTCAACCTCATAAGACTTCTTGGTTCTGCATTGTGATTTGAAAAATAAAATGTCCTCAGAAAAAGAGCTAGCAGAAAGGTAGAACTCAACTGTGCTTTCCTTCTCTCAAAGATCATAGACTCTCAATCCCTTTGTCCCTCGGTCACTCTGAAATGCTTTCAAACTGTTGGTTTGTATATTTCATGTAGCCTTTTTTGTTGTTTTCAACAGGAGGGTTAAAGACAAGCTACTTCAATGAGATCAGTGGCGGAAGTCCCTTTCTTCCCTCTAGTTTTGCCTGCTTCTACTAGTAATCAAGGGACAGGTAAAAGCAACGGGATAAAATCTTATATTATTTATACTCTACTTATTTCCCATGTGGGTTTGTGGTAGGCTACTTACTTTCTCTGGGGGTAAAGCCCAGGCGCTGTAGCTTCCGTGGCTAACGAGCAGAGCTAGCCTCTAAGCCAGGCTCTACCCTACCTAGCTGTATGACTTCAGACAAATTTTATCTTTTTGAGTCTAGTTTTCTTTGTATCTAATATAGGATTAGTAGCTGACTTGCTTATAAGAATTTTATGAGGATAAACAGTGAAAGTAGAGAAAAATCTTTTGAAAGACTATAAAAGGCTGCAGAAACAGAGCATCTCGTATTTAATTTTCACCCCACAGCCCATAAGTGGCACAAAACTGAGAATGAGGATCCCAGGATTTGCATTTGGCTTAGTCACTAATTAGCTATTGACTCTGGGTAAATCAATTCATTCTTCCTGATCTGTAATTTGAGAGAGCTTATCAAACTATAGTTAATAAGACGAAAAGAAAACTCTGAAGCAATGCAGCCCAAGACTGTTTGTAAACCTACAGTTAATTGAAGGAAGGTACCTGCCAGATCAATTCTCTTCCTCTTGGCAGTTGGGTTATGTCAATAATACCTGCATTTAAAGGAAACGTGGATCCCTTGGACAAGTGAGATGAGTACTGTAGCCTGCACTTAGAAGATGAACGTGGATTATTATGCCTTCTACAGGAAAAGGAAGAGGGAAGAGGGAGGGTGAGAGAAGAGAGAGAAGTGCTCACTGGCATCACTGCACCTGGACCAAATGCCGAATGTCAGGATCCGTGCCTATCATTACGCCTATGCCTGCCCCCAGAACTGGAAATCATCTAAGGTAAAAATAAAACCCAGAGATTAAGTGTGAGTGAGGATGAGTAAAATAGACTTCACAGCCACAATGAAATGATAGTCAGACATCATTGAATTTCCTGCCAGTGTGGGCTGTGTTCACTTTAGGGCAGCCCGAACTTCCTGTGAGGAGTTGCTACTCTTTGGTTCTTGAAGCCTAGAGCTAGGCAGAGTGGAGAGCAACTGAAAGGGTAAGTCCTGAGCCTCATGGAGGAAGGTGCAGCACTGCCGGCCAGCGGCCTCCATTCCCGTCAGAAACCGGCAGGAAGAGACCTCGTAGAGTGATTAATTGACTTTGATGTATTCGTTGGAAACTTCATCTACTTGATAGCAAATGTCTAGATAATAAGCTTAACATTTAATGATTCAGGTATTTTGAAATAATCCTATTTTTGCCATAATGTAAATGTAAATTTATTGAATTCCCTTCTTCCTCTGTAGTCTAACTGCTCCTGCAGTGCTTAGCAGCTGTGTGTATTTTCTTTCTTGCTAAAAATAATATTTTAACTCCCCTCTAAAGTATCAGACTGAAAAATGTCTCCAAATTTCCTGAATTATTACAATAGTAGCCCACAACTATAAGGTCATACGTTGTTTTTCAAAATCTTTTTCTATATTAAATTACAGAATTTTTCATAATGATCTTGTGAGATGGCATTGAGCAATTAGGTAGGGCAGAAATAACAGAATCGGGCCCAGAGAAGTGAAATGAGTTGCTCTTTGTCGCAGAATATAACACACATTTACTCTGCAGGGCTTTTATGGATGTGTGTGTATGTATTTCACTTATTTAACAAATATTTGTTGATTGCCTAATATTATGGCAGGCCTTGAGGCTGGGAATACAGTGGTGAACAAGACAGCCTATGCTCGAGGAGATCACAGTCTAGTGGGAGACATGTAAACGTTTAGAGAACTACGTCTCCTGTTGAGTTCTGCAACAGCGTGTTGCAGCAGGAGTACAGGGGAAGAGGTCCTAAGTCTTGTCTACAGAGGGACAAAGAAGAAAGCTTCAGTGAAGAGGGTGGCCCTGTAACAGACACCTGAAGGAGGTGTGGGAATTTGCTGGGTAGATAAATAGGGCAGCGTGTTCAAGTCAGAAAGAACAACATCCACACACTCCCACAGGCACAAGGGAACAGTGTGTCTTTAGGGCACAACATGCAGCTAAGTATTACTGGAGGGTAGAAGTAGGCAGAAACTAGATCATTTTGAATAGTTGGGAAGAATCCTCTTTCCCCTTCCATGCACTCTCCTTGTGCCCCATCAATCACCAAGTCTTATAGACTTGTTTCCTTCTATGCAACTTTGCTACTGCTTTGGTTAGAGCCCCATCGTGTCTGACCTACACTATTGTTTTTGTTTCCTGGCCAGTGTCCCGTCCTCCATGTGCATCCTTCCAATCCGCCCTCCTCCTGCCTCCCCATTTGGTTCCGAATAAGCCCAAACTTTGAGCCTGGCTTACAGAGCCCCCCTCCTCTCATACCTGACTGCATCTCCAGACTTATTTCTGGATAGACCACCCCCATTCCACATTTTCCCCCTTCATTTCTTAACTAATTTCTTACTTCATTTTGTCCTTTCTTAATTCCTCAAAAACTCCTCTCCATTCTTTAGCTAATTGTTGCAGCCTCCTTAGGGGGCTCCTTAGGGAAGGCCACACCTCTGTGCCTTTTTGTTCAAGTTTCTGTTGCTGCTGCCATATCATCTCCCTTCTCCATCATTGATCCTCTACTTACCTTTCAAGACTTCCCAGACTCAGGGCAAATGTTACCGACTTCACGAACCTTTCTGACACATCTGTGTTCCCTTAATGGTCTGTAAGTTCCTTCATAGCCAAAGACAATGACTCTTTCATCTTTGTGTCTTCAGCACCCAAAACAGTGCCTGGGTGGTAATGAGTACTTAATAAATATTTGTTGAATGGATTAATAAAAGACTTCCTAGCAATCATTTGGCATTGAATCCTGTATAGCCCTACTTTCTGTTTTTTTCCCCCACTAGTAATTGTCTTTTCCATACAAAAAGCTAAGTTTTCTGAGGGCAGAAACCTTTCTCTTACTTTCTTTTACATGCTCCCTAGTGCCTAGTCCAGTGCTGGCCAATGCTTTTGCTCATATGACTGTTAGGATTTTCTGCAGACTCCTTACATCTGACCCTGCAAATTAATAAAAATACATAACTGTTTAACTTGAGTGCTGCGCACAGAGGAGGGCCCAAGACAGAAGAGCCAATCACAAGAAAGCCAGTCCCACCCTGTCCTTTCAGAGTCTAACCCTGTGACTGACCCCAACTCTGCCTGTGCTTACAGGAAGAAGGATTAAATCCTGAGGGAACCAGGATCTTTTGGGGCTGAATTTTTCTTTCCATCCTTTATTGAGGAGACAGAAGGAACCCTTCAAGCTGGTGTAAGAAAGGGTGTTTGGGGAGGGCAGTAACCTGACTTACCAAATTTCTTAATTGATCACATTTAGACCAAATTTAGGTTGTTCTTTGCCTGTATAGGAAGTTCCTATTTTACACAACAAAAATCTGTTTATATGTGTTCGATAAAATTACATTTAAATGCTTGAAGAGATCACATACTGAAAAAACCAATTTCATGGGGAAGGAAATTTTCTAAAAAGAAATACCTCAGAATGAGTTTATAAGTTTGAATGTTTGTCTATTAAGTTTGCTTAGAGTTAAACTCAAATGTTGCTTTAGTTTCTTGATGCTCTCATTTGGTTTTAAAACTTTATTTGGGATAATTAACATTCATGCTGACTATCCTAACTGTAGGTTTCTTTTATTTAACTAATGAGGAGCTCTCTTAAGATCCTCCCAAACCAATTTGTGCTACAATATAGTCAGGAACTTGAAAGCCTGTTAATCTTTGTTTTCTCAGCAATGTGTTGGGGTCCGGGGCTTCCCCAGCACTCTGCCTCCCTTTCTGCTTTCTTCTTACCTAACACAGCTCACAGGGCTGTCCCAGGCTAACAGGAGTAGTAGCCCTTTGAGTCTTCCTTCATGGACCTAATAGTGTCCTTTTTAGTCTAAGACCTGGGGACCTGGTTCAACCACTGATTCATTTCAATTCCTCCTGCCTTTTATTTCTCTTCTCCTTATTAACTCTTCTTTGCCTATTCACAATAGGACACAAAAGTCTATACTTCATTATTTATTATATTAAAATTTTGCTTCCAATATTCCCAATTTTCAGTTCTTAAAGAAATCAACTAAATCTCTAAACATTTTTCGCTTTGTTTTTCCTGTGGGTAACTAGCTCTAAACATTCTCCCTAACCCGACATTACAGAATGACCAGTCTTTCAGCCTTGCCCCTGAATTTGTTTTTCAGTTGAGGAGAACAGGAGATGGAGGAAACAAAAGGAAGACAGGCCACTGCTCTGTCCACCATGGGGACTGGCATAGAGAACCCAGGGCTGGAGCTCACGGTAATCCACAGGTTTAGTTTCTGTGGAGCTTTGTGGTCGGCTGCATGGCCTCATGTAGGGTTTTTGGCTGCTCACAATCCCCATGAACCTTGGCAAGGCCCCGTGACTGACCGCAACTCTACCTGTGCTTACAGGAAGAAGGATTAAGTCCTGAGGAAACCAGCAGGGCTGAAGAACAAGGACAAAACCTTGGAGATGTGCTCGGCCTTTCCACACACCAGAGGTACAGGTGCTCTGGAATGGGTTCAGTTAGGACCTAAGGAGCGAGGGTGGGTTAAATGTGGCCAGTGGACACAGAAAAGGTCAAAATTGCCCATTGTCAGGGAGCTCATGGTCTTATTGTGATGATAAGACTCACAGCCACCTGGTGTTGCCATATGCACATCTATATTTATATGTAATTGTTACATAATCTTTGTGCTGTAAGTAATGGGAGGTGGTCAGACTGACAACAAAGATAATGATGATGAGAATAATAACAGCTAATATTTATTAAGTACTCACTATTCTGCAGAATGCCTTATGTAATTAATTTAATTTTCACAGCAATGGTGGGTACTAATTTTATTCCCTTTGTTTTCAATTAGAAAACTGAAGCTTAGAAATGAACGTAGCCGTATCATTGAAAGAAACAAAAAGCTCTTCAGGAATACTCAGATTTGGGGATGGGGAGCAAAACAATCAGATTAAAAAGAAGGCAGAGAGGGACCATCATGAGGGATAATAGTGAAAGTAAAAAAATACCATCTTGAAAGTCCAAAGAGAAGGAAGTGTCAGGAATGAAGGCACAGTTCACAATGCTGTCTGAAACACAGGTCGAGGAAGGAGAAATGAGAAAATCTTTGAATCTGATCGTGGGTTTGGTTCCAGAAGTCATGTCTGAGACATTTGTTTGGGTAAGATGGGTCAGATGAAAGCCACACTGCATAGTGTGGGAACAGTCTGGATATTTATAAAAGCCTGCAGAAATCATACACTGAGAAGCTTAGACAAGGCTATTGAATAGTTTCTCAAGCTAATATGATCCAGAGTAGCTCCCCACAAAAGTTTATTTTTGTGTGTTTTTTAAAATTTATTTTAAAGAATTAACAAAAAATAACCTTAAAAATTAAAATTCTATTTTTTCCCCAGAAATTCATTTCTGTATACAAACTGAGATATATCAACATGGGCATGTGGGATAAATTAGAGAAGTTAAATCCCAGAGACACTTTTACAATAAAATTGACAAAATTTAGTGGTTAACTAAAGGCCATCCATTTTCAGTACGTACACTCAGACCTGTTTTTATCCTAACTCCTGTTCTTGGTTCCTCAGAAAATCTTTAATCTGATCCTGCAGTGCAAACTATTTTTAGCTTCTCTTTCTTTGTGTAACTATCTGAATTTAGCCATGTATACATATATATCTTATCATATCTTATCCATTCATCCACTGATGGGCACTTGATTGTTTCCCTCTCTTGGCTCTCGTTGAAATAAGCGTGGGAGTGCATACATCTCACCAATATTTTGTTTTCATTTCTTGTGGGTCCTGTGGGTATATACCCAGAAGTGAAATTTTTGGATCATATGGGATCTATTTTGAATTTTCTGAAGAACCTCCATATTGTTTTCCATAGTGGTTGAACCAAATTACATTCTCACTGAGAGAGTACAAGGGTTTCCCTTTTCTCCACATCTTTGCCAACACTAGTTGTATCTCATGTCTTCTGGGCGATAGCTATTCTAACAGGTGTGAGGTGATAGCTCATTGTGGTTTGGCTTTGCATTTCTCTGATGATTACTGATAGTGAGCATCTTTTCATGTACCTGTTGGCCATTTGGATATCTTCTTTGGAAAAAGGTCTATTTGGTGCCTCTGCCCATTTCTTAATAGGATGGTTTGTTTTTTCTTATTGAGTTGTATGAGTTCTTTATATATTTTTGAAGCTGGGATGACAGTGAAGAGCTCAGATTCTGAAGTGGGACTGCCTGAGTTTATTGTCTTTACTCCTTATAGCTTCCATTCCCTTGGGAAAGTTACTTAACCTCTTTTTTCCAGTTTTCACATCTATCAAATGGGAATGATAATAATGAACAACCTTAAGATTCTTAGGAGGAGTCAATGAATTACTACTGGTAAAGTTCTCAGAAAGTACTCAGCACATAAAGAGCACTACATAAATGCTCATTAAGTCAAACTTGAATAGTCTTACCTGTTGGGCATTTGCTCTCAGGCCCTGCCCACCCAGGGATTCTTGATGTTTTCCTCCTGGTCTGTCAATGCATATCTGATTGTGTGGTGTTTGGGAAGGTATGGTCAAAGCTGCCTTTCAGAAGAAAAAGCCCTTTTCTGAATCTGGAAGCTGAGCAATGCCTTGTCCCTAGGAAACAGGAAAGGAGTAGGTCCCAGGAGTCTCTCCCTGATGTGACCAGCATCTACCTCTGTGGTAGGAGATTACCGAGAATAATGCCTGTCTAGGTTGGGTAGGCTTATTCTGACCTACTGCCCATTGGCACAGTTCCATTTGGACTTTCTGGCATTGCTGGAACACTACCCAATGTCCTCCTGGCTGAATAAGTTTCCATATTGATTAGGAGAAAATTCTTCCTCAGGCCAGGTAATCTAAGTTCTGGAATTGATATAAATGGGAGGGAGTAAGTTTTATATTTTAATTTTTGGGTTCTCTTCAGGAGGAGCCTACAACCTTTCACCAGGGTGAAACGTTTCTGCAAAACACATGCCAGCTTGCTCAAGAAGATTCTGCTGTACCTGTTGTGTGTAGGTGAGGTGCTGAGAATTCCTGGAAGTGAGAGACGTAATTATTTTAGAAAACTGACCTCGTGTCAAGACATTTCTAGGTGGGATGCAACTTTATCCACAAACTGGTCCAAAGGGCTATTTGATGTATAAATCTTAATACTGGCTTTGTAGTTGAACTACATTTATTAAGTTGCATTTCCAGGATAAGTAAAATCTTAGCAGAAATTATCTTTCAAAGTTGTTTGATAGACTTAAATATTTCAGAGAATCTGGGCTTGTCTCTACTTTGGTGTCTTGATTCAATGCAGGGCATGGTTTTTGCAGTCTTTACAAGAGAATCCTGTAGTATACATAACTTATTTGCTGGTTTGCTAGTAAGACCAATGATATAAAATATTTTTTTAATATAACAAACCTCTATTTAAAATATACTGTAGTGATATATAGGACTTAGACATCAATATTAGAGGCAGCTGGTATGATGAGAGCAAAAATTTTATTTGGGGCTCAGTCAGGGAGTCATGGGGTGAAGACTATATGGCTGTACATTAAGTCCTCATTTAACATTATCAGTAGGTTCTGTCACTTTAAGTGGAATGAGGTATAATGACCCAATTTTACCAGAGGCTAATTTATGTAAACAAGAGTTAAGTTCCTATGGCATCTCATCCACATTATAATGAAAGACATCCTGAAACAACTTGCTATGCGTCCTAGTAGTAGCCTTGTTTATGTGGTTTTGCTCAAGAGGAAAGATGAAAATGACTGGGATTATAAAATTTTAGGAAAGATGACTTTTGGGGTATCTAATGGTGGATCCTGATCAAATCTACTTCAAGGGAAATAATTTATCATAGTAAATTCAAGGGGGTTCAATTAAAGACAAGTGAAAACATGTAACATTCAAACTAAGTTGGACATTCCTTGGGTATCCTCAAGAAGGAAACAGCCACCTCGCCTGGCCTTAAGAACTGCAGCTTAGTCAGAGGCTGGGCGGCAATGTAGCTGGAGGGTCATTATTGCTTTAAGCCCCAGACATTCATGACTAGAGGTTCATTTGCCTCTGGTGAGCTCTGACTTGCTCATCCTTACTCTGCACCTTCTCTTTTTAGCTTATGCAGCCTACTTCCTGGCAGCCTGCATCTTGGATTTCCAGAGGGCACTGGCCTTATTTGTCCTCACCTGTTTGGTGCTCTTGGTCCTGGCTCACCGCTTTCTGAAACCGTTCTTTGCTAAAATATTAACAAAATGTTTGAAGCCATTTGAAAACTCCTGTCTGAAGCGTTGGATAAAATGGTGAGTTAAGACAAGACTCTCAATACCCCTGGCCCCCCAAACTTGTCCCGAACTGAGTCTGCTTCCCTTTTTCTCCTGTGACAATTCCTGAGCTGTCTTGCAGACCCTCACCTATGCTTTTCAAAATCAGTGCTCGGAGAGCAAATAGCAACAGGTCTCTGAGTACTGGACTTCATTTTCTCACAGCCTCGGGTATCAACATTGCTAGGGGGCAAGATGGGTTAAGTTTCAGAAAAGAGTTTCAGTCTGTTTATTGTCAGGGTCTGTGACAGAAATAAGGAAAACCATACTCTTCTGCAATGAAGTAATCAAAACGAAGAGGCTTACAGCTATATTAAGCTATCAAATTGATTTGATGGTTGTTTTACTTCTAGTCCCCCAGACTTTCCGCACCCATTGGTGTCTTTGACAATTCCTTAGAGTATAACCAGCAAATGTCCTGTTCAGTGAATACTAAACTGGATCTTACAGTGGCCACAGCTCATCTAACTAGCTGTATAGCATGCACATGTCCTTTGATCACAGGCCTGGAGCAACAGATTAACTTTCTGACTCTATAGAGTTCCTCTTTTCTGCCTGTTCTCCAACAGGTGCAAAGGAATAGGTGTTAAGAATGTTCGAAACAGCAATTATTTGGAGAAACGCATGAGACCACAACCTCAATTTTGGATAATTGATTTATTTGACACTGAGGAGACAAAGCTAAAATGACACTATTTATTAGCAGGACAGATTCTGGAAGCCAGATTTTATTCACCTTAAATGAGAAGAGCTCACAGTAAGAATAGCTCCAAAATTCAACCCTGATTTACAGCGCAGTTTGTCCTTGTTGTTTCTGAGGCATCTCAGTGGACAATGTGTTCTTTTTGTTTTGCTTTCTTTTCACGTGCACTCTCCTTTCTAATTTTTTAAAACGACTTCACACTCAGACATGAGGAATCCAGTCTATGTATTTATCAAGCATGTTTGGTACATCAAGGGACCATAAGACCATAGGGGTTGATTTGTGGCTTAGCCTTTACTCTTGCCCTTGGAGTGGTTGGAAATCAGGTGAGGATTCCTGGGGACCATGCGTACCTTTCCTCCTTTTAAAAATATTTTTGTTATTCATTAGTACCAGCTTAAAGAATGAGTCTTTATTTCACATCTTACTGATGTGGAAGCTTGAGGAAGGTAGGCCATGTGATTTGCATCCTCACCTTGGACTCTTTAAACTTCATTCTGTGAGTAAGAGAATTGAAGAGAGAGCTGCTAGATAGGAAACCAGCAGATGAATGTTTCTCAAGACAGGTCTCTATGTCTAACCTACTGAGTTATTTCACTTACCCTTGGGGTTAACGTCTGTTTTTTAGAGGTAAGATTAATTATTTGTTATTCTTATTGAGTTGATGACATGGTACTTGCATTCTCTCTTCAGGGTGTTCGCCGGAGTCTGCCTGGTTGGCCTTATCCTGTGGCTGGCCCTAGACACAGCCCAAAGGCCGGAGCAGCTGACCTCCTTGGCGGGAATCTTCCTGATCATCCTCATCCTCTTTGCTTGCTCCAAACACCACGGTGCAGTGAGTTTGGGGGATGCAGGGTGGGCCAAGGGCCGCATATTACCAATTACAAAGTACATGTGTCAAATATTGATTACAAAGGTAAAACTAAGTTATTTACAATCTCTGGAATTTGCTTTTTTGATGTTTTTACTCCTAAGAGAAGTTTTAAAGTTCTCGAAGGCCCAAGACCACTTATTTTCATATAATGAGTTATAATCCATAGTGAGCCTTGATATGAAATTTGTGTATCTAGGCCAGTGTAAAAAGACAAAGAAAAAAAAAAGGATAGAAAGAAAATAGAATACAACAGGGGATCAGATTGCATTGTGCATAGTAATATTGAAGTATTGGATCTGATGTTTTTATTTGTATATCTGTATGTATGCGCATGTGTCATCTAATCTGTAGACAGTTTTATAAATCAAATGGACATATGTGGGTCTTTACTTATTACTGCCTTGTTTCCTCCTGTTCCCCACTCCATCTCACCCCATGTTTCCTGATAACATCCTGGGTTAGTTTCATCCTCAGTACACGTACCCATGTCTAAAACTCCAACCAGGTAATGGACAAGTAGGATTTAGAACTCACATTGAAATAATGTTCTTGTTGGTCCCAGGTGTCCTGGAGGGCAGTGCTTTGGGGCCTGGGTCTTCAGTTTGTCTTAGGGATCTTGGTCATCAGAACTGATCCTGGATTTATTGCATTTCAATGGCTGGGAAACCAGATTCAGGTATGAGAAGTCGAATGAGAGGGCTCTGCTTTTTAGATCCCTAGAGAAAGGAGATTTGAGGGAAGCCTGCAGAGATTGGGCTATGTCTTGATGATGATGGTGGCAGATCTGGTGGGAAAGGAAAGAGTATCCTGGGGTACCACTCATCATATGAATAATGAGAACTGAACTGTGCAGTCCTCTGTCATTCAGTGAGCAACTCTTGGGGATATGGCTTGCCCCCAGGTTGTCAAAGGGAGGCTAGCTTCAGAAATAGCAGTAGGACCTAATTATGCATGAGGCTGATCACATATTCCTCCATATCCTCCCTGGCTTCACTCTTGTTCACTCTCTCTCTCCTTACAGATCTTCCTGAACTACACTGTGGCTGGCTCCAGTTTTGTCTTTGGGGATATGCTGGTCAAGGATGTCTTTGCTTTTCAGGTCATATCTGTTTTGTAGGCAGGAATGAGCATCACTGTGGGGAGAGGGGTAAAGCAGAGGATGCAAATGTATGTCCAAGAGATCAGCCAGTCTCTAAACCAAGTTTGAGCCAAAGAAGAGGATTTGATCCCACCAGTAGAAGGAACAGCACCAGTCTCTCGCCCTTTGATCATTTCCATACTGAAACTGGAATAAAATAAGAGTGGGGGAGAAGGGCTCAGGAAAACATCTCTTGTGTCTTGGTACTAATGGGATAATAGATATGTGATACATTTAAAATTTATTCCTAAAGTAGCTTGTGTTGAAGTATCCATTGAGTATCTACACTGTATGAGCTGCTCTTGGGAGGCTGAGAGCCTAATTTGGAGTCTGACAGGCAGTCTGTTTATGGCATACACATTCACACAGCGGTCTTCCTTCACCGGCGAGGGGTGCATTCTGAGACCCCCAGTGGGGGCATGCCTGAAACCGCAGGTAGTACGAGACCCTATATATGATGTTTTTTCCAATATACATACTTACATACCTTCGATAAAGTTTAATTTAGAAATTAGGCAATTTCACAGACAGAAGATTCATTCTTACTATAGATCTTAGCAACCTTAGCATACATTTTTTCCCCATTAAGTTGAGAATGTTCACTTTTTCTCTTAAAGAAAGCACTTTACAGGTTGTCTTTGGCATATTCAAATTGCCAGCATCACAACTCTTGTGCTTTGGGGCCATTAAGTAAATAAGGGTGACCAGAACACATGTGCTGAGATACTGTGATGATCTCCCTGACAACCTAGATGGCTGCTAAGTGCCTAACGGGCTGGCGGGTATTGTGTAGACTAGACAAAGGGATTGTTCGTATCCCAAGCAGGACAGAACAGGACAGCATGAGATTCCATTACACTATTCATAATGGCACACAATTTAAAACCTAGGAATTGTTTACTTTGGGAATTTTCCATTACATATTTTCTAACCATGGCTGACCATAACTGATACCATGGAAAGTGGAACCGTCAAGAAGAGGGACCACTGTAATATCTCATTAGTTGCCTGTCATTGTCTTTACAGGCCTTACCGATCATCATTTTCTTTGGATGTGTGATGTCCATTCTCTACTACCTGGGCCTTGTGCAGTGGGTAGTTCAGAAGGTGAGTCATTCTCCTACACCCCTCAGGAGGTGGGCCTTCATCTTCTGATCTGTCGAGAAGCATGAAAATGACACTTCATTTGGAAAAATGCTCCTATGTAGGATCTAGATGTTAGAGCTGATGTAAAAATGCAAACTTTCAAGCATGCCCGATATCAGATGGTCAGGCCCAGGCTCTAGGCTGACTGAGGGGCAGAGCAGGAAGAGAAAATGGGCTGGACTGTCATTTCATACTGACTTTTAATCTACATGTTCTGGAAGCCAAGAGTCCTGAGTTCTGGTCCAGGCTCTGCTTTGTAACTTGCTCTGTGGCTTTGGGCTTGACACTCCACTGCTCTAGGTCTTAGTTTCCTTACCAGTAAAATGGGTGTGAGGGGTTTGCTGGGTACTCCCCAAGATTCCTGCTAATGTTAATGGTTTATGCTTTGTATCCCTTTAGATCGCCTGGTTTTTGCAAATCACCATGGGCACCACTGCCACAGAGACACTGGCTGTGGCAGGAAACATCTTTGTGGGTATGGTAAGTACACTGAGGCCTTCTGCTCTTTTCTTTATTTTTAAAAATATTTTATTTATTTATTTTTAGAAAGAGGGGAGGGGTGGGAGAAAGAGAGGGAGAGAAACATCAACGTGTGGTTGCCTCTTGTGCGCCTCCTATGGGGGACCTGGTTCACAACCCAGACATGTGCCCTCACTGGGAATTGAAGTAGCAACCCTTTGGTTTGCAGGCTGGTGCTCAATCCACTAACCACACAAGCCAGGGCTGCTCTTTTTTCCCGAGGAACAAATAGTGTGGAGGAAAACAGGTTGAGAAAAGTGTTTTCCTTCTTAAAAGTCAAATAAATGAACTGTATGGGAAGATAATCAGTGATGAAATAAAACTTAAATGTTCAAAGGAAACTCCGTTCATTGCTTTTACCCTTCATGTGTAAGAATACTTAGCTGGGCCTACTTAGTTTGGACATCCTTGATGACCAATGCAATTTTTTAAAAAAATTTTAAAAATTGATTTGAGAAAGGGAGCGAGAGAGAGAGAGAGATTGAACTTTGTTGTTCAATTTATGTATGCACTCGTTGGTTGATACTTGTATGTGTCCCGACTGGAGATTAACTCATGTCCTTGGCATATTGAGATGATGCTCTAATCAACTGAGCTACCTGGCCAGGGCCAATCCAATGACCTAATATAGGAATTTAGGGAAACATCCTAGTCCAAATTTAATCTTCCTTCAGTCTCTATGAAGGGTATTTGCTCTATGTTCTTGTTTCTCCTGCGATCCTTGTTTTCCAGGGTCTCTAAGGAGCTAATAGCTTGCCTTCCTCAGTGCTAACACCAAGGCTCTTCTCCATAATACACTGTTTGATACATTTATATGGAATAGGTGCTCTGTATGTGCTGTTGACTGATTAGTTCAATGTTAGGGACAATGGCTTTTCAAATTGAAAAGGGGTTAGTATTGAGGTCCTTCTCTCTCAAGGCCTTAGTTGGATTAACTGTTTCTGAAATGTTTTCTGAGTACTTCTGCGCATTCCCACCATAGAATCCCACATTTTACTGAAATTATCCGTAATCAGCTTAGTTTTTAGTGCTAGACTATAAGCTTCTAAGAGTAAAATTCTGCCTTATTTATATTAATATCCCTTGTACAAGACTAGGCACATAATTGTCACTCATTAAATGACATCTTAGGTTGATGCTAAATACAGTTTACAGAGTTGGATCTTCATAATTTCATCAAGTTTTCACAAACCTTATTTTTTTTGATTCTTTCATCAACACTTAGCTTTAATAAACTATTTTGCATTTAATTTAAAGAATACTTTTTAAGCAACTAATTTGTACTCAGGAAGTGCACTATACTTCATATGGTCATTCATTAAGTACATCAGGTCCTTGAAGAATGTCTGAACAAAACTTATTTTATTTGTCCCTCCACATCTGGCTTATTTCACTTAGCATAATGCTCTCCAGTTCCATCTATGCTGTCGCAAAGTGTAGGAGTTCCTTCTTTCTCTCTGCTGCATAGTACTCCATTTATGATCTCACCAGTAACTGGAACATAATCAACAAAAGAAAAGAGCAAACAAAATATAATCAGAGACATTGAAATTAAGAACAATCTAACAATAACCAGAGGGGAGGGAGGAGGGGACAATCAGGGGAAGGGTTTTCAGGAACTACTGTAAAGAACACAGGGACAAAACCAAGGGGGAGGGGTGAAATCAGGGGAAGAAGGTGGGTTTGGCTGGGGTGGGGGGGAAATGCAGACAACTGCAATTGAACAACAATAAAAGAATTTTAAAAAAGTATTTCATTCAACTTTGTTTTCTTATAAAGTTGATGAGATGTCAGAGGAACTTAACTCTTGTTTATATCAATTAGTTTACAGTAAAACTGGTTTCATTATACATTGTTTTGCTTGAAGTTGCAGAACCTATCAAAGTTAAGTGAAAAATTATTGTGTATGATTTTAGACATGGAAAACATACCAAAAAATAGATACCATTTTCCTTCCATAGCATTTTGAAATCTAAACAAATGAGACAAACAGGTATGAAAGCAGATGAGAACAGTGTCAGCCAGGGTATGATAAGGTGTCAGAGCGACTGAGGCAGATGCTGGGAGGACCTAAAAGCAGCACTCGGTGCTGGAAGGGCACTTACACTAGAGGGATGTGTCCCTAGGGCGGGAGTGGGCACTTTGGGGCAGGGAGTCACACACTCTGTAATCTGACTTGCTTCTCCTTCTTCATAGACAGAGGCACCTCTGCTCATCCGCCCGTATCTTGCAGACATGACACTTTCCGAAGTCCATGCAGTGATGACTGGCGGGTTTGCCACCATCTCAGGCACTGTGTTGGGAGCCTTCATATCCTTTGGGGTAGGCATAGTCTGATGACTCCTGGGTGAGCCCACATCTGGGTTCTGCAGATGCCGATTCCTAAGTCTACCCTTACAGATTGAAGCATCATCCTTGATTTCTGCATCTGTGATGGCTGCCCCTTCTGCTCTTGCCTTGTCAAAGTTGGTATATCCAGAAGTGGAAGAATCCAAGTTTAAGAATAAGGAGGGTATAAAATTATCCCGTGGGTAAGTCCATATAATTGGGGAGATGATGAGGTCAGGTGCAGACTCAAGGGTTGTGCTGTGGTGGCAGAGGTTTCAAGTCTCCCGGAGAAGGATTAATCTGACACCATATCCCCTCTTGTCTACCTCTGCTTCTAGCTAATCATGCTTATTTTGTTAGTTTGTTTCACCCTCCACCTGCCTCTGTCTTCTGCATACCAGTATCCTCTGTCCTTGGTGTCAGTGCAATTTCATGGCAATTACATCTGATAGTGCTCAGCATACTTTTTACAAAAGGGTCACTAAGGAACCCCATCACCTCTCAAGCTGGTCTGGCACCCTCCTCCTGCACTCCCACACAGAGGGAAAGTGGGATTTCTCTTCTGTGAGGGGCTGAGACTAATCCAGACACCATATCCTTCTATGCCCAACAACCACAGCAAAGAGAAGAATATCCTAGAGGCCGCCAGCAGTGGAGCCACAGATGCCATAAGCCTTGCTGCTAATGTAGCAGCCAACCTGATTGCCTTTTTGGCAGTGTTGGCCTTCATCAATGCAGCCCTCTCCTGGCTAGGGGAATTGGTAGACATACAAGGGCTCACTTTCCAGGTAAATAATTACATTTGTTGGGCTGTTCCTCTAAAGTGTGTTTAAGTAGTCCTTGAAATGTGCATGCCCTCCTGACCCACAATGAGCTAAAAGAGAGCATGGATAGAAGGGTGGGAGAGATTGAGTTAAGTCTCCAGAGAAAGTCCTTTTGTCTTGACTTGTGTTATTTGTTCTTTCTTTTCCTGGGGTATCTCTTTCTTTTTACCTAGGTGATTTGCTCCTACATCCTAAGGCCCATGGTTTTCATGATGGGTGTAGAGTGGGCAGATTGTCCAATGGTGGCTGAGATGGTGGGGATCAAGTTCTTCACAAATGAGTTTGTGGCCTACCAGCAACTATCTCAGTACAAGAACAAACGTCTCTCCGGAATGGAAGAGTGGATTGGAGGCAAGAAACAGTGGATTTCTGTAGGTGACAATCCAGAAAAGCATAAATTGTCTGTGGGCAGACAGGAAGTGTCACACCAAAGTTTCCTTCCCACCCAAGAATCCCTTTCCAGTGTCCCAGCCTAACCACAAAGCCTGCATAATGCTATACTTAGCTCTAGCACCCCTGCTGCCCTGAGGTCTGTGTGCTACTCCTCTCCTGCATTCTGATCCAACTTTTATCTGTAAGGGACTTGTTGGGGCTTTACAGTTGAGGCAGTCCAGAGTGGACACTATTTTTGATGGCCTAAGGTCCCCTTCTTCATTTATAAGTTTAAATTGCTATAAATTGATCTCCTTTTCTCTCTTCCTCTCTCTCTTCCCTCTCAATCATCCTTATTCTTAGGTCTTCTTCTTATTCATGGGTTTCAACAAGAAGAGTGTTGGGCAAAGAGGCCCATAGTGGTTTCCATATCCTTATCCCTGTGATAACTCAGAAAATGATTATTTTCTGAGCATCTTTTCCATGTCCCTTAGGGTAGTGTGGACAAGATTGGAGGTTCCATGTTCTTTGGAACTTCTATCATGATTATATGACTGCATATATGGAACTGTGTTTGTTTACTTATTTATTTTTGTTTTGCCTAGGTGAGAGCTGAAATCATTACAACATTTTCACTGTGTGGATTTGCCAATCTTAGTTCCATAGGAATCACACTGGGAGGCTTGAGTGAGTTCATTCATTTTTTCAACTACACTATAAACCAGCCGGATCCTGGCTTCTGTACCAGGTAGTCCTGGTGCTCCAGTACAAGTTCAGACCAGATAGAGAAGCTGATGTGAAATGAGCCTTCTCAGGCATAGTTAATTTGGAGTTAAGGCAACCATGCTACCTGGGTGTGCACGGAGCCCAGACTGGGTTTATCATCTCTATTTCTGTTACTCTTTTTCCTTTCAATTGGAGGCCCAAAAGACCTATTTTGTTTTAATTTTCCTTTTGAGGAAGATAATGATATTACTTTTACTTTGCCATTAAATGGTCATAGTGCACATATAAGTAAAGATATTTTTTTATTCAGTAGCAAAGGTACTTTCTGAAATTAGGCTGCTCACCAGCTATTTTCACAGAAATGCACAAGGAACCAAAAGACAAATAAAATCATCAGATACATAAGACAGATACATAGTAAGAGCCAGTGGTGTCAAGTGTTGGACTAAAAGCTACAAATCACCAGGTGTGGGAGAAGTGATTATCTGAAGCAGACACAGATATATTTGATTGCTGAAGATATTGCTGAATGTGGGTGATGATTGGATGAAAAAATATGAGAACGTGGAATTGTCTTTGAGGGCAGGGGCAGAGAAAATGACTAGCAGATTTGAAGAGTTTGGAAGATCCAAGTTAGAAATACAGTATAAGAAATACAGCTCAGTGTGTCCATTTATTGTTACTCATATTCTGTGGTAGAATCATTCAGTTGATTTATTTGGTAGCTGATTGAACAATTTAAAGGTGAAACAATTTCCTTTTGGTTTAATTTTTCCCTCTGTTAAATATCTGTCTGTACTGTTCTAGTTCTGATTCCATATCATGGTCTGATTGTGAGATTGTGTCTGGCAGCGGAATGTGTGCATGTGACTAAGGCTTAGGTGAATGTTGCCATCCTTATCCCTCTGGCTCAAAATGGTCCCTCTAATTCTGGTCCCAGATCTCAACTAGGGAACGACCAGGCATGTGTGCCTGTCTGGAGCAAACCAGAGCTTTGCTTGACCCAGATATCTTGGGAGGGTTCTTGGAACCACTGAGGTTAGGGTCAGACAAACATTCCTTGACCCGGGGAACGTCTGAGTTAGTGAACCCTCAGAACATATACACATACTTCTTAGGGTACTGCTGGCCAGCCTCTGGTCATTAGTGGTAAAAAAAAAAAAGCTATTCATCTGCATTTGTTCTTGTGCATTCTTTAGTTGGGTCTCATAAGAAATCCTGCATTGGCTGATGAGAAAGAGATCAAGTTATTTTGTTTTGTTGTCTGCAGCATCAATGGTACCCCACCGGAAGAGTGACTTATCCAAGGTTGTGGTCAGTGCCCTCTTCACAGGAGCCTGTGTATCCCTTATCAGTGCCTGTGTGGCAGGTAGGTAATTCAGCTTAGCCTCTTGGCAGAAATCACATACCTAGATCCTGATAAGATCTCTCTCAGAGTATCAATTTAACCATCCATCTCACAGATGCATAGAAAAGGCACCCAGTCTACAATGTTCTCAGTTTACACCCAAATTATTAAGAGCCTTCAGGAACATGTATGAATCTTCCCCTTAGTATCTCTGTCTCCTTTATCCAGGAATCCTCTATGTTCCCAGAGGAGCTGAAACTGACTGTGTCTCCTTCCTAAACACAAGTTTCACCAATCGAACCTACGAGACCTATGTGTGCTGCAGACAGCTCTTTCAGAGGTGAGTGAGCATGAGGATTCCAGCCCCCTCCTCTTACATGCCATCTTCCACCCAGGAATCTTTGGGCATGGGAAGAAATGAGGTCTGAGAGTAATCATGGGAATGCTGAATAGAGTTTAAGAAGGAAGATGGGTATTTGTGGTAGTCCAGATTTATGTTCTTTTCTCTTATCTTAGTATTTATTATCTCTAGTATAGACAAGTGACAGATTTTACCTGTATTGGTGGGACACTGAAAAGTGGAAGGGCAGGGGAAGAAGAAAGGACATGTGACTTCCCTGACAAGAAGTAACTATATTTATTGTGACTGGAATATTGTAGGTGAAGACTTGGCAATGCTCTTAAGTGGCTAAAAAATTGTGGGTTTCTTCAGACAGAAATGATGACTGAAAGAGGATAAAGCTGAATCAATAAAATCATAATGCATTCATATAGCATAAAAATGAGTCTGTTTACCAATTTCTGGGATATTATATCAGTAGTTTTCTGGTTCCTCATGTAAGAAGCATGAAAGTCACCACTCCATTCTAACAAGTTAAAAACTAAACAATCTGAGAAAGCAATAATTTGTAGATTCATATGAGAGGTGAGGACCCAGGGCAAACCACTGTCCCCGATATTGGACAGAGAGGGGAACACAGGGAGTCATGATTACTGGAACAGAAACTCGTGAGTGGGAACTGCTGTGGAAACCTGTGCAGGGGTAGGAAAACTTGAAACTGTAATTGCTGGAGACATAGTGAGGACAAGTCTGAATGTTTAAAAACTTGGGAGTAGGGCAGTCATGGGGGACATACCACGCTTTTGTGTTTTACCTCCAGGAGATAAACCAGGTTCAGAATAGTTCCTTTTCCCCTTCCCTTGTGCTTCTGGCTGGGTGAGGGGGAAAAGGGAACCATTTTAAAATACACCAGAATGCATTGAGTTGTTTGTTTGTTTGTTTGTTTGTTTTTGGTGGACCTGTGCTTTTGATTATTTTAGGTAAGTACCAGGAGTAGAAACACTGGGTGCTGAAGTAGATAAATGTGTGATGAAATATATGCCATTGGAAAGCTGGTCTGTAGAGCAGAACTGTGTGGTCAAATAGATTCACTTTATCTGGTGCTCCATTTGAGTCTTAGTTTTCTATGAGTTCTCTTCTCTTTTTGACTTTAAGTTTTCAATTGCAGATGGCATGCAAAATTATATTACTTTCAGGTGTACAACCCAGTGATTAGACATTATATAACTTACTAAGAGATCATCCTGATAAATCTCACACCCATCAGACACCATAAAATTATAACAGTATTGTCTATATTCCCTATTCTGCATTTTACATCCCTGTAACCACCAATTTGTACTTCTTAATCTCTTCACCTTTTTCACCCATAACCCTAACACCCTCCCATATGGCAACTGTCAAAATGTTTTCTGTATCTAAGATTCTGTTTCTCTTCTGCTTGTTTATTTTGTTTTTAGATTCAATCATTGATAGATATGCATTTACTGCCATTTTATTACTCATATTTTTACCTTTTTTCTTCTTAAAGAAGACCCTTTAACATCTTCTATAATACTTGTTTGGTGGTGATGAACTCCTTTAGTTTCTTCTTCTCTGGGAAGCTCTTTTTTTGACCTTCAATTCTAAATGATAGCTTTGCTGCATAGAGTAATCTTGATTATAGGTCATTGCTTTTCATGGCTTTGAATATTTCTTACCAATCCTTTCTGGCCTGCAAAATTTCTGTTGAGAAATCTCTGTCTTATGGGAGCTCCTTTGTAAGTAACTAACTGCTTTTCTCTAGCTGCTTTTAAGATTCTCTCTTTGTCTTTAACTTTGTGCATTTTAATTATGATGTGTCTTTGTGTAGGTGTTTTTTGGGTTCTCCTTGTTTGGGACTCTGTGCTTCCTGGAGTTGGATGTCTATTTTCTTCACCAGATTAGGGAAGTGTTCTGTCATTATTTTTTCCATATAGGTGTTTAATTCCTGGCTCTTTCACTTCTTCTGACAACCTCATGATGCAAATGTTGGTCACTTGAAGTTGTCCTAAAGGCTTTTTATGCTATACTCATTTTTTTGGATTCTTTTTTGTTTTTGTTGTTCTAACTGGGTGTTGTCTGTTTCATTGTCCTCCAAATCTCAGATTTGATCTTCTGCTTCATCTACTCCACTGTTGATTCCTTACAATGCAGTCTTTATTTTAGTTAATGTATTCTTCATTTCTGGCTGATTATTTTTTATGTTTTCTAGTTCCATTTTTATGTTTCCTCTTTGTTGAAGTTCTAAGTTCATCTACTTTTCCTTTAAGTTCACTGGGCATTTTTATAACCAGTGTTTTGAGCTCTGCATTTAATAGATTGCTTGCCTCCATTTTGTTTAGTTTTTTTCCTAGAGTTTTGTTCTGTTTTTCAATTGGGACATATTTTTTTGTCTCCTCATTTTGGCAGCCCCCTGTGTTTGTTTCTACATAGTAGGTAGAGCTGCAAGTTGCCCGGGCTTGGTAGAGTGGCTTTATGTAGTAGGTGTCCTGTAAGGTCCAGGGGCACAGCATATCTGTTTACATGAGCTGGGAACTTCAGGTTCAACTCCCCCATTCCTTGTGTGGGCTGTGTACACCCTCATGTTGTAGTTGAGCCTTGATTGCTGTTGGCACATCAGTGGGAGGCACTTACCACCAGGCTGATTGGCTGCAAGGACTGGCTGCAACCATCATAGAGAACCATCTGTTCAGGCCCCACTCCATGGACCGGTACTTACTTCAGCAGGGCTTTGGTGTCTGCTGAGTTCACCCCTTGAGTGTCTAACTTGTGGGTGTGGTTGGGTGGTGCTTTAATGTGGTCTGAAGCTGTTCATGGTTTTGCTGGCTTGGGGGACTCTGGGAGGTGTAGGCCAAGGTCAGCTGCTGCCTGTGCTCTGCCTGGGGCCACCCACCATGAGCTACAAAGCAATCTGCAGATGGCTGCTACTTTTACTGGGCTTGGAGATGTCCCAGAAGGGCCAAGCTGCAAACTAAGTCCAGCTGCCACTAGTGCTATGTCTGGGGTCACTTAGTGAGAGGTACAAGGCATGCTGAAGCCATATGCTTCTTGTTTGAGAGATTTTAGGAAAGTCTGAAGCATGAACCAAGGTAGGCCATTTGTAAAAAAGTCACTGGGAGAGCTTGATTGGGCCCAAAAGTTGGGTGGGGTAGGGTCTCAGAGAATCACCAGGGTGGGGATAACAATGTGAGCCGGGTTGATGGAGTCTTACATATGGCACCGGCCTACAAGTTCTGTGTGTGTGTGTGTGTGTGTGTGTGTGTGTGTGTGTGTGGCAGGGGGTGGTTCAGAAAAGTAACAATGGACTCTTCCAACTCTGTGAGCTGTTCTGTCCAGGAGTAAGCTGCTCCTTCAGTTCTCACTCTGATGCCAGACAATTTAGTTTTTCCCCCTATGTCTCTTGTGCCTTTTGAGCTGCTGCTACAGCTGCCCCAGTGCTGTAGCTCAGAGCCAGTGAGTCTGAGTATATACATGCACTGGCCATTTAAGAGGAACACCTGGGACTCCAGCTGTCCTTAGTCTCACTCAGCCACAATTCCCACTGCCAGATGTTATAGGGTCTACTCTTTCTGGTCCTGGAACTCTGAGCTGGAGGGCCTGGTGTGGGGCTAGGACCCCTCACTCCTCAAAGGAGACCTCTGCAGCTGAGATTGTCCTCCCAAATTTTATCCACCACACATGGGTGTGGGTTGAGCCCTTTCCATATCTCTGTCCCTCCTACCAGTCTCAATGTGGCTTCTTCTTTATATTCTTAGTTCTAGGACTTCTGTTCAGCTGGATTTCAGGTGGATCTGAAAGATGGTTGTTCTGTAGTTTAGTTGTAATTTTGATGTGGTTATAGGAAGATGTGAGTACTGTGTTTACTTATGTTACAATCTTGATAGGAAGATTGTGTTGTTTTTGTTTTTTTTCTTTTAACAAGAACTGCCCTCAGGGGCAACTAGTTAACCACAGTAAAACCAGGTAGGGTATTTTCAGAGCCTAACTGACCTGGGAGGAGGGAAATACCCAACTTCAGCCCATGCTAGCCATCCTATCCCACTTAGCAAGGAGGAAAAAACTTGAGAAAAATTTATGAAGTTCATAGTCCTCACTAAAAGATTGAGACCTAAAGAGGTACAGGCTCACTAAAATATTAAGACCTAGTCATAGCACTATAGCATACTTCCCCTTCTCCCATATCTTATTACCACATCACATTACTAAAAGCCTATTTACAGTGGTTTCTTTTATGTGTACAACATGTCTGGCTATCAAAAAGAAATGCCAAGACACACTAAAAGGCAAAATATATGATCTGAAAAGACAGCACAAGGATCAGAACTAAACATGGTAAGGATGTTGGAATTAATCAAGTTGGGAATTTTAAACAACTATGATTAATATGCTAAGGACTCTAATGAGTAAAGTAGACAGCATGTAAGAACAGAGGGGCAATATAAGCAGAGATGTAGGAATCCTAAGAAAGAACCAAGGAGAAATTTTACAGACCAAAAAGTGCTGTAACAGAATGAAGGATGCTTATTAGTAGACTAGACACAGCTGAGGAAAGAATCTTTGAGCTTGAAGATATATCAATAGAAACCACCAACTCTGAAAAGCAAAGATAAACAAAGACTGAAACAAACAAAAACAGAATAGAAGATCCAAGGACTGTGTTATAACTACAAATACCAGGAGAAGAGTAAAGGAATAGAAAAAACAATAATGACCTAGTATTTCCTCAAATGAATGTCAGACATCAAGCCACAGATCCAGGAACCTCAGAGAATACCAAGCATGAAAAATACCAAGAAAACTACACCTTAGCATGTTTTCAAATTACAGAAAAACAGAGGTAGAGAAAAATACTGAAGAAGCCAGTAGGAAAAAAAGATCATATATCATTAAGCTAAAAGAAGTAGTTATAGGATACACAGAAAGAAAGAATTGAGGAACTAGAATGTTTGGTTCTGCCAAAGCAAAAGACATGTGTAGTA